ACAGACGGAGGGATTGAATGTGACAACATTAATGTGTATTCTATTGACGGCGGTAAATGGTGGACCAAAAGTGAAAAATGTGCAAACTTGGGCGACCAAAACTGTAATTATCCCTCTTTTTACCGTTGTAAAAAAAAATTCATAGTAAAAAAACATTTTTTTACTAGAGTGAACTCTTCGAGATTCAAGCTTTCGTTAAACCACGTGAACCGAAAATCGGGCATTTTAATCCCAGAATAACCCAAGAAAACATCGTTCGGCCAGTCCAATGGCTTCCTTCTTACACACCATACCCTCCCGACCAATCAGATTGAACCCAACCCTCTTCATCTGTTGGCGCAAATCTGTCCAAACACCCACAAGAAGGAGATCGAATTCCCGACATTGCAACTTCCATGCGCACCGCACAATACGTAAGTATGGCATATATCTGCAGGCAAGAAGTAATAGACGACCCATTCTTGGCTCCGGTCAACCCAAGTCAACCGTTGACCCACACCGCTCCGGCTCATCGTAAACCATGGTTCGCCGGCACAGAACAGTCGGCTGTCGTGGACACTGCCATTCCAGTTCCATTGCAACGTCGCGGTTCCGTCGTGGCTCCGTCGTGGCCGGAACGGATTTTTTAATTAAAATGCTAAAAATTATTTCAAATATATTTTTAATACCAACATTACAATACAATAATATGCTAAAGTTATTAAAAATTAAGAAAAAAAAATATTACAACAACCTTGCATAACATTATAAAATTACATGCAATATCAACACCACGTAGATTGTCGAGCTGGTTCAAAGCTTTCAAGATTTTCTGTGTTTGAGAATAAGTCGGTAAATGTGACCCATATTGTCTGTATTGAGCCCCATTAGATTTATAAAAAATTAAAAACAAAAATAAAAACACATATTTATGTTTATTTGTTGTAAAACATATTATGTGATGAATTAATTTAAAATTAAAATGATTATATTTAAGTAACAGAATATTGAAAGCAAAAAAAAGTTAAATAAAATTGTAATATTATATATATTCGAATTTTCTATATTTATTTATTATTTCCATTTTGATATTTATTTTCCATTTTTTAAGAATCACAGTCTTCAATTTTATTTTATTATTTTCTCTAAAAAAAAATATATGTATTATTGCTATTTTCCTTTCGGTTAAATACATAAATTATAATCATGTTTTACTTATGGTTACTTTCTCCTATTAATAGGAAATTACAGGGATTAGTGGTAGGGGTGAGCAAGTTGGACCCATCAATTCATTAAACTCGTCAAACCCGGTAAAAACCGTCCCGCTAGGACCGGACCGATATATCCATCTATAAGATTGGGTCCTGAAATGGACAAGATCCGCGGGTTTGGGTCTAAGACGGGTTCAAAAAAATTTAATACCGTGAAACCCGTCCCTCCCTGCTATACAAAACAACGTCGTTTTGTTTATATTATGTAGTACAATAAATTAATAATGTATAGTACATGAATAAAGTGTCAAAATTATATATGTAACGACGCATCGTCTTGTTTTATCTATGGTTGTCTATTTTATTTTGAATCTTGTCTTATAAATATTTGAATTTAGTTACTCTTTTTTGGATTTATGGTTAAAATGTATTAATTTTGATTTACTCGTGACATTTATCGTGATGTTATTCAAGTTTGTTTCAATTTAAAATTTTACGCTTGGTAATTCATTTTAATTTCTAAATAATTTCACGTAAAACTTATAAATTATTAAAGAAAATGACTTTTTTAAATTACGATGGGTTTCGACCTATGAAGGTTAGGTTCTACTTTAAACCCACAATAGACCCGTCTATTCAAACCCCGTCAAAAACCCACAAGTTTGGTTACTTAAAATCAAGAACCGTTGGTTGACGGGACGAGGACGGGTTTTGTTAGAACCCGCGGGTGCCAGGGGCGGAACCAGGATCAAAATGTAGGGGTGGCCAGCTAAAATTTTGGGGTTCAGGGCATCGCCCTGAAAAAAAAAATTAGGTTCACAAAACATTGCAAAAAATAAGTTTAGATTACTAAATTTTAATTAACATATCATCTATATTATAATTATATCATATTTTAATCATCACAGAAAATTCTAAATTAATTCAAATTATTCTAATAATGTATTGCACTTAATATTTCAGAGATTCATGGCACAATCTCAAGGCATTGATAAAAATAAATTCAAAAATAAGTATTATTCATAAATTTTATTTAAAATAATATAAGTTTTAAGCGTCTTATTTTATATTTTATATTAAATATGGTATATTTATCTATAATTTATATAAGATTATGGAGAAAAAACAAAAAAAAATAATGGGTTAAGACACATATTTACAAAAACTTTGGGGGGGGGGGGGGGGCAAAAGTAATATTCAAAAAAATACAATACCAAATACCTAAATTTTTTTTTTCTTGGGGGGTCATTAGCCCCTCTGCCCCTTGCATGTACCGCCCCCTGCACGGGTCTACGACCCGCGCACACCCCTAATCAGTGGGGTCTCATTATCCAAAAAAATTAGCTCTTAACTTCATAAAAAAAAAAAAAAAAAATTTAAACTCTTCTTTTAATTTAAACTCTTTTTTTAATTTAAAAAATAATTTACACTCGTTTTAAAAATTATCTCCTTCCCAATTTTCTTTTTTCTTCTTTTTTTTTCAATTTTTTTTCCGTCGAGGTTCTCGTTCCCAATTTTCTTTTTTTTTCTTTTTTATTTTTTTTTTCTTTTTTTTCAGTCAAGGGTCGGACCTTCCGGAGCCGTTCTGGAGCCGTTCCGGTGCCGTTTCCCAGCTACGTATCGGCCGTCACGGTGGTCCGTCGCGTCAAGAGGAGAGAACGGTTTTGTTAGGGATTCCGGAACGGCGGGCACCGTTCCCGTTCCGTCCCGGCGAACCCTGTGACGTAAACCTCGAAACAACGGATACTATTCATGAACAATCCAGCTGTGAAATCTTCTCTATAATCCACCATTGTAGCGGCAGCATCGAAGCGGGCGCAACAGCGGGTGTTCATTCAATTTATTTCCTATTGAGCTTAATTAATAACACGTTCATTACTTTATTGTGCGGGAGAATTAATTAAGAAGAAATTATAATTCAAATAAACTAACAAATATCCACGAAAACAATTATAATTCAAATAAACTAGGGCGAATAGCAAAAAGGCCCATCACATGGGACTTAAATGCATTTTGGTCCACAAAAAAAACAGTCTATCAATTAAGCCCATCCCCATGTCTTTATTCTAAAATACCCTCAACAATATAATTCTTATCAATTCCACCCATTATGCTCTAACTTCCTTAATATTACACATTGACCCCATATTTAAACAAATATATCACATTCACCCCCAAAACTATTTTTTTTCAGAAAATAATTTTTTTTTCTGAAATATTCAGATTCCGGCCAGATTTCCGGCGTTGACCGCCAGAGGCCGCCAGTCTCCGGCGTCGACTTTTATTTTTTTTTTTTTTGTTTTGAAAACTTTTTTTTTTCCTGAAATTTTTTCCGGCCGGTCAACCACCGTTGACCGCCAATCTCCGGCGTTGACTTTTTTTTTTTTTTTTGAATTTTTGAATTTTTTTTTTCATAGAAGAAAAAAATATTTTAATTAATTTTACTGTTTTAGCTACTAAATTACTGTCTCAGACAGTAATATTACTGTTGGGACAGTAATATTATGAATATTATTTTTCCGAACAGTAATATTATGAATATTATTTTTCCGAACAGTAATATTATGAATATTATTTTTCCGAACAGTAATATTATTAATATTATTGTCTAAGACAATTAAATTACTGTTGAAGACAATAATTTAGCATCTAAGGCAGTACTATTAATTAAAATATTATTTTTAAGAAAAAAAATGAAAAAAAAGTCAATTAACAGTTAAATTACTGTCTCCGACAGTTAAATAACTGCTGGAGACAGTAATTTAGCAAACGAATACAGTAATATTAATTTAAAATATTTTGTTAAGAATAAAAAAGTCAATTAACAGTTAAATCACTGTCTCCAACAGTTAAATAACTGCTGGAGACAGTAATTTAGCAAGATACACAGTAATATTAATTAAAATATTTTTGTAGAAAAAAAAATTCAATTAACAGCTAAATTACTGTCTCCGGCAGTTAAATAACTGCCGGAGACAGTAATTTAGCAGCCAAGACAGTAATATTAATTAAAAAAAATATTTAAGAAAAAACAAAATTATAAAAAAAAAAAAAAAAAAAAAAGTCTACGCCGGAATCTGGCTGGAAAAAAAACATTTCAGAAAAAAAAAATATTTTCTGAAAAAAAAAATTGGGGGGTTAATGTGATATATTTGTTTAAATCCGGGGTCAATGTGTAATATTAAGGAAGTTAGAGCATAATTGGTGGAATTGATAAGAATTAGGGTTAAAATTGGGGTCAAAATTGAAATTAGTGTTAAAATTGGTTAATTTATGAAATTGGGCTAAATTGGGTTGTAAATCATGAAATTGGAGTTGAATTGGGTTTCAAAGAATTGGGGGTAATTTTGGTATATATGAAAAGATTTTCCTTATTTGCAAATAAATTTGAATGGATTGAATTTATTTGAAAGACAAAAAAATTGGATGTCTCTCTTTTAATTAAGTGCCCTTGTCATGGGCCTATTTGCCATTACCCCAATAAACTAACGCAAACAATTGTCACCAAAGAGAAATTATAATTCAAATAGGAAACATTCCCACAGCAAATCTGGACATAACAAAGATTACATGAATTATAAAACGAAAATCCTAGTCCTATACAATCTTTGAAACCATTTAAACCCCATATATCTCTCTCTCTATATATATATATATATATATATATATATATATATATATATATGTGTGTATAAATACATATCGGTCTTCCCTTCATCAACTTTCACAATATTTTTTTGTTTTCTTTTTGAATTGGAAGTATTTACATAAGGCGGGAGAAGAATTAAGAAGAAGATGTTATGCAAGACGATGTTTAACGCTTTGGTTGAAGTGGCCTTCCAAAAATCACAGGAGGATTTAATCGAAGCAGAGCAGCAGACCCAATCAAAATCCAACACGTTATCATTCCCCTTCAACCATCCCCGGCGGCCAAGAACCAAAAGAGAAGAAATCATAGTCAATCCTGTAATAGAAACCGCCGATGATTCGAAAGTCGAAGATAAAGAAGATCAAGAATATTCCGACAAGAAGGCAAAGAAAAGGAAGTCGTCAAATAATCTGAAGAAGAAAAAGGAAGCCATCGGGAATGGGCCCCCGATACCGCCCCCGCTTCCGGAAGAATTCAAGAAGACGATCCAAGAAATCGGGAAAGGGAGAAATATATCCGAGGAGGCGGAGATGAAGCTGGTTATCCAAAAGGGATTGTTCGAAACAGATTTGGCCGCCGGAAATAACCGACTATCAATCCCTTTCACACGGGTTCGCGATCACGGATTCTTGACGGAAGAGGAGGCTCGTTTCCTTACGACACGCGACCGCAATAACAAGATGAAGTTCAAAGACGTCACGATTATCGAGCCCTCGTTGCGACGGGAGAAAGTGAAGCTGAGCAGATGGGATATGAGAAAGGGTAACGACAAGAATACGTGTTCCAATTACGTAATAAACGGAAAATGGAGACACATTGTCGAGAGGAATCGCCTTGAACCCGGGGATGTGGTTCAGTTATGGTCTTTTCGGATCAATCAAGAGTTGCATTTCGCTCTTGTCAAGCTCCCAGGTAATAAATAAATTTGGGTTCATTAATTAGTTGTGATTAGGGTTTGTTCACCGGTTAGATTATTTGATGTACCATAAGTTTTGGATATTAGGGTTTTCATATTTTTGTTTACATTATACTGACAACTTTTTATTTTGTTTTTCGATCCTTTTACGAAAGTTATCGACTTCTCGACGTTCTCGATCTTTTTATCGATTTTAATGAGTTTGGCTAGTTATAAATTTTCTTCTTGCTGGTTGATTAATTTTCCAATTTTTTTCTTTTCATGTTATATAATTTGACTTATAAATTTTGGTAGATATTTATTGTTCTTCTTTTCTTTCAGGCGCGTGTAATCGGTACGTTAAATAGAACTTATAGTTGACATTAATCTGCATAAATATAATGTTTATACTATACAATTTTTTTATTTTATTTTTTATTTTTTTTAACAATCAACCACTAATTCACCATCACAAAAAAACATTATTCATGTTCTTAATTAGCAATTATAATAAAACGTGATGTATATATATATATATATATATATATATATATATATAGAGAGAGAGAGAGAGAGAGAGAGAGAGAGAGAGAGAGCAGATTATTGTAGATTCCATCAGGCCTCACGTGCCATCCATACACATGTGATTGTGAAGCCTTGAGCGGATCGAATGGTGTCTCTCAAATACTCGAAAACATTAAACCTACCTCTCCGAGTACTATGATCGGTAACGTCACACGTGGCGATGTTCTCGCCAACATCGTGCCGTAATCTTTGTCTGCCGAGAAACAGCGAATCGTTATCGGCGTATTCATATTTGATATGATCTGAATCTTGTACTGTACAACGGTTTGTGCTGAAAATTGTGAAGGGAAATTTATTGATATTATTAGAAAGAAAGAAAAGTGTGCTGAGATTAAATTGGAATACTAATGCCATTATTTATTTTTCAATTTTAACCTAATTTTGTTTTTTTATTGATATTATTTATACTATACAATGTTAATAGATTGTATTGTATATTGTTGATTGTTCTAAGGCTGACCTGTAAGTTAATTCTCAAGAAACTAATATAAAAGCTCAGTTTTCGAATAGCAATAGGTAAACTATTATTAATAAATTAATTAATTATTTAATGGATTAGATTATTAATGTGCCGACTCCATGACATGAAATAATAGTTTAAGCAAGGTTAAATTAGCTAATAGTTAAACATGTATAAATTAATTCAGTGGGACCATTAAAATCCTATTAATTTAGTGAAATATGAACTTATCGATAAATTAATAATTATTAATTTATGTATTAATTAATAACTTATTAATTTATGAAATTATTTTTATTATTATTTTCAACAAATAT